TATGGTGGCGGACACTTTCTTTTTTGCGTCTCTCTCTCTCAAAAAACAATATTTTTCAAAATTTCAAAAGCAGGCAGTTGCTGACATCTATTAAGCATATTTCTGTCAGAAGCGGCTGTTAAAATTTAAATTCAGTAAAATTTTACAGCTCTTGGCGCAAAAAACTGATTTTTTTTATTTTTGAAAGTTGTAAGGTATGGTGGCGCATTTGGTGTATTTAACTAAAATATTATGTAGATGTTAAAATTATTTATTAACACTACTAGAAATGATGAAAAATAACAAAAAGAGAAAAAACTGATGATTTTACATTATAGAAAAAAAAGTTTCACTTCAGTTATGGTTACAGTTTGGACATGTGAAGTAGCTGGTGGCTGTTTTAACGCAACTAGAATAAGAGAAGACCGCAAGTGTCACATATTCGAGAATTGTTGCGTTGGAGCACATGAGGCATTAGTACACAAAAAATGCAAAGACAATTGAAACTCGAGCAAAAAATGATCCGCCACTTTACGTTACAAAAATTGCGCCATCATACCTTACAAGCTATTGATGAAAATATGATGGTGTTACTTTCATACAGCGCGAATTGAGAAAAATGTAAAATACTAAAAACTGTTGTCCAAGGTCTAAACAATACGTTCCATACATTTACCAGACTCAATTTTTAAAACATCTTCACTCTGGCACTGTTAACACACATATCCAATAAAACTATTTTTCTTTTTTTCACTACTTTTTTATTCAAAATCACTCAAAGTACAAAGCACGCGTTTGATCATTAATACTACTGCATATAAAATGTCATCACGATAAAAGACATCGACCATAGTGATAAGGCGCTTCAGATGTGACGTTACATGCCAGATTTGACAAGTCCGCCACCATACCTTACAAGCCACGATACCTTACATTCCCCTAATATTTTTATTTTAGATTTTTAAAAAAAATTTATTTTATTTTGCATTTATATTTCAAATTATTATAATGGGAGGGACATGTGAAATTACAACCATATCTAAAATATACTTTGTATATATAATATAGGTACATGAAAAATTGTTTTTATCTCATCATAGTATTTAAAAAAAAATAAACTCGATGTCTACCTATAAGTTATTGTAATTAATATGAAAGTCAAAATTTCTTAACACGGACACTCAAAACCAATGACTTCTAGTAAATATAGAACAAAAACAAAACAAGAATATTATATGTATACATATATTATCGACTTTCATGACTTGAAATTTTATAAAGAAATGTATGTAGATAAATTTTTGTTAAAAATCTTAATTCAAAAACAAAACTCGTTTAAAATGAGTCTATTAAATTTAAAAAACGTCCCTTTTTTAGAGATATAGAAAAATTGGTCAAATCACAGAAAATTAGGTTTTCTGTTAAATATGTAATTGAAAAATTAACTTTTTTTAGTTGTTAATGTGTCAATTTTTTAATTATATCAGTTTTTGAAAATAAAAAGGAAAAAATTGTATATTATTATATTTTTCAAATTAAAAGATAAAAGATATTTACTTGAAAGTCGCATAATTACCACCGATAGTATATCGTATATGAGCAATTCCACGTGAACTTTTTTGACATTTAAAAATAAGTTAAACATATTTTTTCTCGTTTAAAGAAAAATATTAAATACGTATTTTTTTATTTTTGTAAAATTTCCCAAATTTTTTATTTATGAATTTTCGAAATATTTGATTTTTAAAAAAAGACTTTTTCCAGAGCTTATATATAAGTTTGAAAGTATTGAGTTTAGAAAAAAGTAAAGAAAATTTTGATTTTTCTTCAACTTTTAAGTCATGTAAAAAATAATTTTTTTATTCTTTTCTAATATATAAGCGTAATTAATTTTTATTTTTTCTTTATTTCTTTATACCTGATAATATATATAAAATTTTAATAAAAGTTCAGAGCTGGGACGATTAACATTGTGATTTTTTTATAATTGACTATAGTCAATTATAAAAAAATCACAATGTTATTCTATATCTAATCACAATTCTACTAAAACTTTTTCGAGTATACTCGAAAAAGTTTTAGTAGAATTTTCTGTATATTATTAGGTATTAATATGTAAAGAAATAATAAAAATTAGTTACGCCCAAATTAAAAAAAAATAAATTTGTTAATAAAAAAATAATTTTTTTAAATTAAAAATTATTTTTTTAAATCACTTAAAAGTTGAAGAAAAAGCAAAATTTTCTTTCTTTTACAACCTTTTTCTAAACTCAATACTTTCATACATATAAGCTCTGAAAATATATCTTCTTTTAAAAATATCATGAAACAAAAAATATTTTTTAAGAATAATTACTTAATTATTATTTTATTATTATTATATTATTATGTTAATTTAAATACAAGAATTTTGTATTTATTATTGACAGAATGTTTCCAGTTTTCGAGGAAAAAACACAAATCAAAGAAATGTCTGAGAAATTCAAACGCTTTTCTGATTTGAGTTCACGGCAAAAAAGGAGACGCTTATCAACAGCTCGTAATAATAGAGTCGATGAACAAGGTTCTTCGTATGAAGAACATGAAAGCGAAGAAGAAATATTAGAAAACATCACACCTGCAGATTTGCAAAATCCACATCATGAACATTTATCAGACAATGAAGTGTCTGAAACATCTTCCACAGAAGATAGTAACGAGATTCTGAATGATAGTAATATTTCCATGGATACGGATGAGGAAACAAATGCCACCGAATTAAGTGACTCAAAAGATGAAAACGAAAATATTTATATTCGTAGAGATATTCGTGATTTACAACGAACGGCATTAAAAATGCTTTCTTAAATGCTAATATAAATCATAAGCAAGGAAATATAATTTTAAAAACTTTACGACATTTTCCTTTCAATTTGATTTCTTTACCTAAGAATTCAAGGACTGTATTAAACACTCCAACAGTTGTTGCTAGTTCAAAAATTACATTAATTGAAGGAGGGGAATACCTGCATATTAGTTTAAAAAGAACTTTAATTTAACAATTAGAAAGTTTGCCTGTAGTTTCTGTACCTGAAGCGGTGGTAATTGATTTGAGCACTGATGGAGCCAAAGTAGACAAGGGAGAATTTCAATTTTGGCCACATCAATATAAAATATTCAACATTTCTGATAGCAAGCCTGTTATATTTAGAATTTACAAAGGTAAAAAAACCATCTGACATATTTGCATTTTATAAACAGTTAATTCAAGAATTAATAACAATTTTCGAAGAAGGGGGAATAACAATAAATGGTCGACTCTTACCTGTATCTATTCGATGCTTCATTGCCGATGCACCGGCAAGGGCTTTAGTTTTAAATCATTTTAGTCATAACTCGACTTCACCTTGTTCTAAGTGTAAAGTAGACGGGCAACGTTGTTCAGTAATAGGGTTTGAAAGAACCATGGTTTTTAAAGGCATTAGGCACGTATATAGAACTGATCAGGAGTACCGAAATTTATTAGACGATGATCATCATAAAGGAGGAAGTCCTCTCGCTCCTGTACTTGATTTGGTTACTGAAGTTCCTTTTAAAATTATGCATCTGGTTTGGATAGGAGTTTGTAAAAAGTGATGTCTGCACATATCGAGGGCAATTTTGGTTTTCGAAAATATAAACTAAATGAAAGAAAAGTAAATATTCTAGATGCTAGAATGATAACGCTTCAGTTTTACTGTCCTTCAGAATTTAATCGTCGTCCACAAAAGTTTAGTAATTTTTCAAAGTTTAAGGCAACGGAATGTCGTCAATTTTTGATGTATACTACACCCGTTGTTCTCAAAGATATTTTTTTAGACGATCATTATCTTCATTTCATGATACTGCATACTGTAATGCGTCTACTTGTTCAAAAGTATACTCCACGCAACATGTATCCATTTTGTCAGGAAGCTATAGAGACTTTTGTAGAATTATGTGAAGTTCTGTATGGTGAGCAGTTTCTGTCATACAATGTGCATGGTCTTTTACACATTGTTGAAGATGTAAAAGAGTTAGGTTCAGCAGAAACTTATAGTGCGTTTTGTTTTGAGAACAATATGTCTGAATTGAGAAAGTATATTAGAAAACCAGGCATGAAACTCCAACAGGTGTACAAAAGAATTTCTGAAAAAGAGGGTTTCACTCCAGAACCTTTAAACAGCGATATTGGCATTCATTTATCACAAAAACACGCAGAAGGACCTATCCTTGGAAATATTTCTATTCATCTTTGTCATCAGTTTAGAAATTTAAAGTTTCAAGGATTTACATTTGCTACTGCTTAGCGTGATAGCTGTTGTATACTGAAAAACTCTAAAGTTTGCTTAATAAGAAACATAATTTTAATTGAAGGCGTTGTTACATTAATTCTTCAAGAATTTCAATCTAAGCGCACAATCTACGATGTCGGTTTAACATCGGATCTTGTTGATGTGTATGAATGTATGAATTTAATGCCTGAACTTCTAGCAGTACCATTCACTGATGTTAAAAGCAAAGTATACCTGATGCCAAAATGGAATAATGTGGAAGGAAGGGAAGAAATTGTATTAGAAAACCAATACATTTGCGCTTCATTATTATCACCATTGAAAGTGCCCGAAAATATTGACATTCATTATTGAAAATTTCTAAAAATTTGTCTTTGCCTTCAAAGTGAGTATTAAATTAGAGGGAAATTGATTTTTTATTTCTACATTCTAAAGTACCTAATGTTTAATTAGTTGATATAACATTTTTTTAAAATATCAGATATTAGTATAATAAAAAAAACGTTTAGAAATGACAGTTCATTAAAAATTTTTCAATCAATTTTTTCTAGACAAGTAATTAAAAATTTTGTAACGAAAATTTAATCAAAAATTATAAAATAATTTGTTTAAGTACTAAAAAGCAAAAAATGTTTTTTTATTAAAAAAATGTTATTAATTAAATTCTTTTTAGTTCATTATGGAAAATCCTAAAAAAAGTCTAAACGAAAAATAAAATTAACAAGTAAGGGAAGATCAATTAAAACTCCAAAGAGACATTTGCCAACATCTTCCGATGATGATCATCCATCTAAGAAAAAACTGAAATCTTCTGAAGATGTTAAAAATCGGTTACAAACCTTAAAAGCACATCTTGCAAAAATTGAATCGAAAAGGAGTGGCGATTCTATAGATGCTTATCCATTGAAATCACATAAGGATAATTCGAAATCGACTCTAGTTATTAATGCTTGCAGTTCTGAGAAATCAGTCGTTTCAAAACATTCTCTGATTAAACATTTGTAAGAAAAAAATAATTATATTTGATTTATTTTTTAAAAAAGTACAAAAAAATGAATATAAAATGTTATTTATAACTTTAAAAATCAAGTTTTTAAAAATTAATAATTTCTTTTTTTCTATTCTAGAAACTTGGAAAAATCAACTTCAAGTCAATTTCAGAGAGATCATTCTGAAAAACGACGTATGGATCACTTAAATAATAATTCCCAGTTGATTCTAGATGATACAGATAGCAGTTCATCTTCTAACAATTCTCCGATTGGAAACTTGTAAGTAAAATATAATTATAATTCATTTATTTAAAAGAAATATAAAAAATTGATCTAAAATGTTATTTATAACTTATTTAATAACTTGAGTCTTTTAAAATAAAAAAATTAATTTTCTAGAAGCTTGGAGAATGAGAAGTCATTGAATCCTATAGTCACTCAAGAGAAAGTAACTGGATCTGAATCTAATTTTGAGAATCCTGGAATGAAACAGGTGCAAAAACAGATTTTTTTCGCCAGTGGTATTCAATACCAGGGAAATCTTTCTGAAAAACAACGTATGGATCAGGAGAATAATTTAAAATCGACTCAAGTTATTAACGATAGCAGTTCTTCTTCTCAATATTCTTTGAATCCTTCAATGAAACAAGTGGATTATGAAAATAATAATTTCAATGAAGCCTTTGATCTTATACAAAAATTGGATTTGCAATTTACATAAATTAGAGTAAGTAACATAAATTTTAAAAATAATTTCTAATACTATTTTTGTCTCATTGTTTTTCATAATTTTGTTATTAAATTTTAAACCTTTATTAAAAAAAAGTATTTTTTTAAACATATCTCATCACAATAATTCAATTATTTTTAAAAGTAATAAGTTTCTTCTTAGAAATTCCATTACTTAAAAAAATTCTAATAAATCGTTCGAAAGAATTCATTTATTTTAAAAAAAATTTAACAAAATTTCCCACAGACATTCAATTATTGACAAATTTTTTAATAGAATTCTTTGTAAAATTTAATTATCTTTAAAAACTTTTCGCCATTCAATGATTTTCAATATCTACTATTTTCATAAAATTTTCAAACAGAATTCAATTACTTAAAAAATGGTTTATAAAAATTTTCGTTACAATTCAATTCTTTTCATGAATAATAAAAATTTTCATCAATTCAATTATTTAAATTAGAATTTGCATAAAATTATTTAAAAAAATGAATTATTAAAAAATTTTATAAAATTCTTGTCAAGAATTAAATTATTTTAATAAATATTTTAATTCTTTCATTAATAATAAAATTCGTTGCAGGAATTCAATTTATTATCAGGATAAGAAAAAAGTAAATGTTTTTTATGAAAATTAGGAAAAAATCAGAAAAATAAAAAATATTGAATGTAATTTTTGTCAATTTTGTGAAGTGAATAAAACAAGTTTTATTTTGGTTTTTTGACATTAAAAAATGACAATAACCCACAAAAATTAATTTTCAAAACAAACAAATAAATGCAGATAATTTGCTAACGGAAAGGGAAACTTACGATTATTTATAATGTATATATTATATATTATATTATTATTAAATTTTAGATTGTTGGAACAACAAAATAGAATAATAATGGCCAACCAGGATCGTATACTAACAGAAATTTCAAAGAATAACGAAATCAATGGAAATACATTTTCCGAAAAACTTTTCCAACCTCTGCTTGGCTTCCCATTGAGAAGTATAGAAGAGTTTAATGATTTAAATGCAGAGAGTAATAAAAATCAACGTCAAAACTTGGTATGTAAATTTGTTTATTTTATTTATTCTAGTAGGACTTAAATATTTTTGAAAGCATTTCTAAACTTTTTCAGTTAATCATTATACTTTTATCTGTAGAATGTAAAAAATTTTTATTAATATTATATAATATCATTCTATTTTTCACTGTGAAAATATTGAATTATGAATATGTTATGCAATTCTATTTACATGATACCATTAGCATTTAAATGTATTTTTTTCTTATAAGACAAATTGTTTTTTAGTATAACCACTTGGTTTGTTTGGGAGGTTCAAAAGTGAGAGAGTTTTTAAACTGCGCTCTGAAATAAACTATGTCAGATGAGTTGGTTTGCAAATTTTCTTGGCTTGGTGGAGATAAATATAAAAAGTTTGGTGACACTATGGTGTCCAATATTTTGTATCGTAAGCATTTTTTTTACATGAATAAGAACAAATAAATTTGCATAAAATAAACAATTTCAATTTTTTTAGTCAGCCAGAAAATGCAGTCACTTCAAAGGTCCAGACGACAAAGTTCATTTTAAAAATGAAATGTTGGAGGTTTTGCGCTCAACAAAACAAAGATTTCGGAACTTAAAAAAAAATATTGAAGACAATCTAGATAATCTTACTAATGAAGAGTTAAAAAAATGATTCACGAAATAGAAGATAGCCAGAAAAGTGAATCAGAGGATGAACAGAGCGAAATAATGGACGAGGAAAACTATGGCGATGACGAGTTTTGAGACATCTGCTTCTTTATCATAAGTACTATAGAATTTTATATTTTTAAAGAACGTTTTATACCTCAAAAATATTTAGGTTTTGCAATTAAAATGTTGGAAAACATTTAATACTACTTCTTTGTTATCATTTTCTTAGTCAGAGTTATATAAAATTATTTTTTCAAAAAAATAGTTACGTATACGAATGTTAATAATTTGTGTTTGTTTAAACTCGACTTTAAATTAAAAAATTGAAAAATATAACTGTCATATTGAATACACTGAAAAAAAAGTTCATTGAATCAAGTAAATGCATTTTCTTGACCTGATTTATTTGAAACAAACCCATATTTTCTTATTGGAAGAAATTTATTTTCTTGTGTCAAGTAATTTTGAGCATTGATCAAAGTTATTGAAATAAGAAAATATGGGTTTGACATAAGTAAATATCTTACTGTTTCAAACGAACTGTTTTACATGCGCCAAGTCTCGAAAAAGTATTGAATCAAGAATATCATGTTCTGACGTCAAGTAATTTACCTTGAGTCATTTGGTATCTTGAGTCAAATAATTTTTTTATTTCCTTTAAAGCAACTATTTATTTCATCCAACACCCATAGTCTTGAGCCAAGAAAATGGGAAGATTAATACAAGTTAATAATTGTTTCAACTCAATTAAAAATTATTTTGTTTCAAAGAAATATTAATTAATCTAAGCATTTCTTTTACTTGAAGCATTTCTATATTCTCATGTTTCAAAATCATTAATTTCTTGCGAGAATGTTATATTTTCTGGAATGAAATATTTTATTTATTCAATTCAATTAAGTGTAAGATCTTGAATTAAATCATTCTTTCGTTTCCTTTAAAAAAGTTTTTACTTAATTCAACGCTCATATAATCCTGATTCAAGAAAATACGAAGGTTAATATAAGTAAATATTTGTTTAAAGTTGATTAAAAATTATATTCAATTAATCCCATATTTATTTGAAGAAAGAAATTCATTTTCTTGTGTCAAGTAATTATTAGCATTGAACAGAATTCTTGAATTAACAATTTAGTATTTGGCAGAACTCAATATGTAATTATTTCAACCAAATATTTTACTTTTCCGAAGTACCAAAAAGTATTGAATCTAGAATATCATGTTCTTAAGCGAAATAATAAAGTATTGTGTGGAGAATTCATGTTTCTTGAATCGAATCATTTTATTTATTTGCTTTGAAACTTTTTTTTACTTAATACAATGCCAGTGTTCTTGATCCAAGAAAATATTTTTCTTCAAATGTATATGCAACTTAAATATCAGTTTTTGAAAACTGTCCATTGAGGCTAGGATGGCATAGTGGTAGCGTGACGGCTTCTAGTGCGTGCAACCCGAGTTCAATTCCTCCGACCGTGGAAAATTTTCTTTCAAGGTATATTTGTTGTATTTGTGTTAAGTAATAATTAAATGTAAATATATATGTAAAATAACAATTATTTAATTATTTAAATAAAAAATATAAATGTTAATTAATTAAATAATAAAAATGTTTGACCTAAGTATTAGAAAAGATATGATGGGGGTAAGGGGGGGGGTAATTTAAGTAAATAATTTACTTGTATTGAGAAAGTATTTTTTTGATTTAAATCTATAAATTTTCTCAAATCAAGAAAATATTTTCTTGGACAGAGAACATACTTTCTTGATTTGATACATAAATGATTTTGAATTAATATATTCTGCATTTCTTACATGCTACTTAATTTCTTGATCGAATTCCATATTTTCTTGGATCAAGAATATCTGCGTTCTCTCACAAAATAAATGTTTTCTTCATTTAAATCTTGAATTACTTGAACGAACGTTACAAAAAATTGAATGAATCAAATAAAATAATTCAATTAACTATATATATTCTTAGAACAAGAAAATATTTTATTCATTTAATACATTTCATACTTCGTATAAGAAGACTAACTTATTGGTCGAATTCCATATTTTCTTGGATCAAGAATATATGTTCTTCTCCCAAATATCCTATGTCAAGAAAATCGTTTTCTTGAATCAATACTTTAATAGTCTTGGCCGTATTCAATCCCACGATTTGCTTCAACCAAGAAAAATTTTCTTGGTTCAATACTTTTTTTTCAGTGTAGGGGCATAATTTATTATATTATACAGTTGACTTTTGTTGAATTCGTGTTAAAAAGTATTTATATTTATTACGAAATATGATCTCAGCTAATGTTATGTTATGTTTGTTCAAGACTAAAAAAAGAAATGTTCAGTATTAATGCCATGTTTACATTATTGAAATAAACATTTTTTAAATTTAACCTTAGTTTTTTGTAGTTAAATTTTTACAATATATTTACCATAAATCATCTTTAAAAACGCACAAGACTCGCCTTTAGCACTCTCATGCATCATGCACCTTTATGACATGCGAGCGTAATGCGTCTCATATGAGGACGCATCTGTCTGCATCAGTGAAGGCACGTGTGCGAAAAGAAACCTCATTCATGCGAGCGATATGAGACGAATATCAATCTCAAATTGTTATCTGGGTACATATGTCAACGTCAATACATCAATATGTAACATAACCTGACTTTATTGCTAGTTCACTCCCACGGAATAGTATAAGAAATTGAATCTTTTATTATTATATCCAAATTTTAATATTAAATAATTTTTTAAATTTGTTATTTAGTTGTTAGGTAACTGGATTGACGGTAGCGCTAACACCACGACAAACTTTAAAACATAATTTCCCGGAAGGCCAAGACAGTGCCGAGAGCTCGAACGAAAGGGATAGTTCCAGTCAGGTAGCAGTGTGTGGCCCAGAGACGCTCACTGCTACCCGACTGATATTATCCCTTACAACCACGTGCTCGGCGAGTTCTTCTTCCCATCCGCTCAAATAGTAGGGTAGGGTGGGGCATTACTATTCTTGTTTGGATTTTTAAGTCTAAAAAATGTATTTAAAAAAAATTAAAAAAATGAGTAGGACCGTTTAAAAACTTGACTTCTTAGCTACAATTTTGCCATCAAATTCAATCAGGTTCGCTATATTTTCCTGAAATCTACACACGAAAATACATAAAATAAGCAAAACTGAAGTCCAATAGGCCAAGAATTGTGAAAAAAAGGGGGGGAAGGTACATACTTTTTTTCTAAAACGAAATTTTTTTTTTAGTTTTTCGCAGAAAAAAATATGAAGATGAACTCCAATAATTTTTTCTGTATGTTGGTTGAAATCTACACGTAAAAATAAATAAAAATGTATAACGCCAGTCCACTAGATTAAGAACTGTGAGAACCACCCAGTAAAAAAATTCGATACACGGACCGCGGAGTTCGTATACGAGCTCGGTAGCTCGTATGAGAAAACTCTCATACGAGCCTTTTCCGTAATGAGAAGTGTATAGATGCTTGTATACGAGGTGACTTTTAAAGCATTTTTCTTAATATAACACTATTTTAAAGTAAATGTAGATAATAGAAATGAATTTTCAAAGTAAAACAAAGCTAAATTTATAAAGGAAATGAAGAGGGGATCCCACTTATCGACATTGCAGATCTAAAATGGTTAAAAATTTGCAACGACCGTTTCTTGGAAAATATAAGATATTATTACCTATAAATTTGGAAAACTCATTTTTTATCATAAATACACAGGATGAGTATTTTATTTGTTGTAATTATTTGAAAAAAATTATTGTTAGAAAGTTAAATATGGGCAGTTCCCCTGTAACAAATCTTTGACTACTAGCTCAAACTGCAACGACCATTTCTCGAAAACAACGAAACAAAATAATTTTTTCATTTGGGAAATTTAATTTTGTAGGAAAATACGGAGGATGAGACTCATTTGCCATGCAGAAATAAATAAAAACTTTATTTTTTGTAAAGTGTATATGTGACAGTTGTTCGGTGACACATGATATTTAATTTACTAACATTAATTTTTCTTAAACAATTTGAACAAAATAAATGTCTCACATTGTGTATCTTTCATCACTAATGAATTTCCACTCGAAAAGAAGACATTATATTTTATTGTTGTTAATTTAAAGTTAAAAATGATCAAATTTTGTCACTTTTGGAACCTTTGGCGCCATCTCTTGGTTAAATAAACTACTAAACATCTGTCACATGTGTTCTTGTTGCAAATTTATATACAAAACAGTTTACATAAATTAAAGTTTTTTATTGTTGTTTTCAAATATGTAATGAATCTTATTATGTGTATTTTTTATTAAAATTAAGTTAGCCAAATGGAAAAATTATTTTGTTTTGTTGTTTTCAAGAAAAGGTCGTTGCAGTTTGGGCTCTTGGAAACTGCCCATATTTAATTTTCTAACAATATATTTTTTTTTAATAAATACAACAAATAAAATACTCATCCTATGTATTTATGATAAAAAATGACTTTCCCAAATTTATAGGTCATAATATCTTATATTTTTCAAGAAACGGTCGTTGCAGATTTTTAACCATTTTTGATCTGCATTGTCGATATGTGGGATCCCGAAAAAAAGGATAATTTTGTTCAAAAAATTTATTCACACTGAAAAAAGGTTAGAATTTGATAATTCCTTGTTACTCTAACTTACCGATATTAGATATTTCTCGGATGCGGTAAGCCCGATTTTGTATTGGCGGTAGAATAAATAAGTTTTTTTCATTACTAATTAATAATATATTATTATTTATTTATTATATAAATAAATAAATAAATAAATAAAAAAAAATAAATAATAATAATAAATAAATAATAATAATTAATAATAATAATAAATTTAATACAAAATCTGCTTACCGTATACGAGAAATATCTAATGTCGGTTAGTAACAAGGAATTATCAAATTCTAACCTTTTTTCAGTGTGAATAAATTTTTTGAACAAAATTATCCTTTTTCTCTTAAAACTTCATTTCCTTTATAAATTTAGCTTTGTTTTACTTTGAAAATTCAT